ATTTATTAAAATTTTCCAAAATTCTGGTTCTAAGCAACTGCATAATGGTATGGACACTGTGCATCTTATTTCTATAAGGTTTGTGTAAAGCTAAGATAAATAAAAATACTTAATTTCTTGACATAAACCACAAATATCTACTGCATTCTAATAGTATTTGTAAGTTATATATGAGTATGCTCTTATTATCTGGTGTTTCACTTTATAATAGTGCTATGGTGCAAATTTAGAGAAGTATAATGGACTGGTAAATTCTATGAAAAAAACCCTGATTTTATGAAACTGTACATTTATTCTTCTGTGGGTATCAAAGCTTAGGTTAGAATAATGTCTTTTGTTTTTTGATGGTGCCATGACCTTTCCTGTTCTGGGATATAAAGGCTCGTGGGCTTGAACTCCTGAGGACAAAGCAATGCTCCCAAAGTGAGAGCATCAGCTCTGACCTACTGGCTTTCACGGCCGTGTCAGGAGCATCTCAGGCTGCTCTCTATTGCCAAACCCACAACTGTCATCCCTCTCAGGGCAGAAGTTTTACAAAGCCTGAAAAGTATGAGACAACCAGCCCGGAAGCACCAGGACCCAGAAGTGAATGATTCGGTAAAGAAATGAATGCAGAGGCAGCTTGAGGAAGAACTCCCAATACCACCTCAGGAAAGGACGGCCACGTGAAGTGACTCCTAAAATGTCCAGAAGTGTGTGAATAATGGAAATAATAGATGTAGTTTAAATATAATAGATGTAGTTTAAATATAATATGTTGGGGTAAGGGTTCCAGACAGTTGTGATATTTCATCCAGGGGATAACTAACTGATAGGATAAAACAGGGAAAAGGAATGAGGAGAGTTCTATATCATTGCATATACGGTAAAAAAGAATTCTCCTAAATTCCACACATTGGCAATGGAACCTATTCTACTTCGGCCTTCCAGAAACTCTATGTGTATGAAATATTTACCAACTATCCATTTTGTGCAAAGACTTGTACACAGGCACACAGGCATCTGAGTGGGAAAATAAGGATGGATACAGCATACTAATACTAATTAGTCCTCTAATACATGCATACTCTAGTTGAGACAATAAAGAGGTAGATTATGGTGTGTGTATAGTCTGGCTCAAGTTTTCTAATAAATACGGTTATTGCGTGGATCCTACTTATTGTGTGCTTCTCTTTATTCCAGCATTGAAGCTTGAGGGTTGGCAAGGTAAAAGAGTCTTTTATTTTTTGAGGTAATTTTTTAGCAGTGTCTTAGTGAACATATTGGAAGAAACAGAGAGGGTCCAGCTACAAAGCAAATAAGCTAACTCCAATTTATATCA